ATTGCCAAGTAAGAAGGCAAGAAGAGATACTATGGATGTACTGTCTCCCTGGATATATGGGAGCTGATGAATGTTCCAGTTATTTCTTCTTCCTGGGGAAGACAAAAGTCCTGGCTGGAGAGGCATGGTGCTTTGTCTCTTCAGTGGTAGCGGGGCTAACTATGTGGGCAGGTGGGTCTGCTACGCCTATGTCTTCTCTCTGGTAGAGAACACTAATGCTTGAAGGACCAAGCCATAGTTTTTCACCCCAATAAGCTTCTAAAGAAACTATGGGTAAAGATCAATCAACCCCATTTCAGTTATGGCACCACTAGAGGGGGGAAGAGCATGAAACATTTGTATCTCAAAAGAGTTTCTGTACCCATTAGTTTTTATCATAATTTTTTTTCACTGTGCTACTGCCTGTATGGGATTGACTTTCTGCATTTCCTACCTGTGACCAAGCATTCTTCTCATATTCTGTTGTTGCTGGACACTGCACTATGGCAGGTATATAGCTAACCAATGGTGTTGGTGGTGAACAGGGGATGGCATGTAACTCCTCATCCCCTCCATTATGCTGCATTGTGACCATGTAATTTGTCAATACGAGAGATGGGGAACACATCTATAACTAAACGGTTCAAGACCTTAGTCCCTCAAGCCAAAACATGTAGGCATAAACTTAGATGTACTTTATGAGAATTTCACACCATTACACGTGCAAGAGTTAAGAGTTCTTAGTGGACAATGAGTGTTAGCCAGAAGTTTCTATCTGTACCTGATCCCACTAGATTTGGTCACATGACACTAGAACCAAAACAAAGTCCATTTCAGGCCTAGTTGTAAGCCATAAGCAAATGTGACTCAGTTTGTCTGTGGTGATTTTGCTTCCATCTGGCATGAATGCTGCACCCAGAGAACCATGGCGCAGCCACTTAAGACACACAACGTGCTCATGTCCTGGGGGGGGTTGCTTAGCTAGCTGCAAAGCACAGACTTTCCAGCTCCTAACCTCACGACTGAAGTGCAGGAGTACAAATGCTATTGACCAACCATGCTAGTGCCGGGCTAAGTGCAGTGTTGTATTGTTGTTCCCCCTCCCCCAGCAGTTCACACAGGAAAGTACCTGCTGTTCCTCTGCAGTTGTATGCACCCCTCTCCATTTACTGAAGTGCAGCACCTGAAGTTGAATAGTGTCTAGTAGCTACAGTATTTCCAATTACTTTAGGAAACTAACTGCACAAAACCTGCTTTATATAACAATAACTCTCTCTCTCATTCTCAGACTTCCCTCTAGCCTCCTCACACCCAACTCTAAACAGACAGAAGACAGAAAAATCAGCAAGTGACTCTTCTTCAGCATACAACAGCAAATACCTCACAGTTCCTCAAAACCTGAATTCCTTGCACAGCAGGAGGGTCAATGGAGCTTTTGAAGCACCCATATACACGGAGTCCTTCAGCAGTTCTGTAAGTAGGATTTTATGTTCATTGACTTACCTCTAATGCCTTTGAGATGAGGAAGAGGCTTGAAGCAGGGTGAGCAGAGCATGGTACACTCCTCCTGTGCGTTAGGCAAATCCACACTGTACTGGGAAAAGCGACTATGCAAGTAAACTAATGCTACAGCCTTAAGTAGTTCAGTAGGCTCTCTTAGTGTACACCAAGAACTAATTGCTACTCTAGTAGTCTCACCAAGCTTTCCTTAATTATTTACTTTAGCCAAAATCCTTCAGAGCAGGAATAGGGGGGTTGCTGTTACTCCTAGTGTAGTAAAAGATCTGCAGATTGATAACTAAATTGGCTATCCCTGTGCAAACCCTGGGCCAGCGCATGCCCAGGTGTTAGTGTGGACTGGGAGGTGGAAGTGTAGTGTGGCTGCAGTCTTCAGAGCAGAGCTGTTGTTAGAGGAGAGACCCCTTGGGATATGTTTGTAGTGATATGTTGGCTATTAGAGGACTACAATAAAATTGTCATGAAATGCCGATCCTACCTTTCTGTTTTCTTATTGCTTGGTGCACTGGCTACTTTTCTTGGAAATGTCAAGAAGCAGTGAATGTAGGACTGAAGATGGTAATTTAAATCACTGATTCTGGCTTTTACAACGGTTGTGAGAGGGCAGGAGAGAAAGATCTTGATAGTTCCTTCAGTGATGTTTTGCAAATTGCAACTTATTTGTGTTCCTCCCTGATAAGGTCTTCTTGTGCCAAAATGTCACATGGTGAGGAAAGCTGTGCAAATTTAGGGCCAGAAAATGTCCTTACTGAAATCTGTGGGAATTTTGATTTGTTTTCTGTGCAATACACACCCATAATAATGGGGATGCCACTTTGCTGCCAAGAGTGAGGAAAAGAGTCAACAGAGAGGAAGGGAGATAGAGGCATTGTTTTATCTCCTCATCCTTTTATTCTGTGTAACTCCAGCAACATCAAATGTTGCTATGGTGCTCTCTCAGGTGGCTGGGATGTGGCAGCTGGCTACACACAGGTAATAAACAGGAAAACCTCTTAGTGACTTTTCATGTTCTCCAGCCTCCTTGTTCCCTCTCCCACGTTTTGTTTGTGCTTCTGATTTCCGCCCACACTCGCCAGTAAGGGAGGAGAGGATGCTTAGAGGTCATCTTCTCTAGTGCATTGCATTGTGCTAGTGACCTGGGAGTGGTGACATCATTACTTCTGCGCTGTATAGTGTGAAACTCTCTGGAAGGGAGACTAGAAATCTGCAACAGGTTTTTCTTCACTGTGGCAGAGATGGATCCAGGAGGTTTGCATGGACTGCCTGTGAGTACTACTTGAAAATGTATCTAACTAGGAAATGGGGAATTGCAATAAAATGCTATCTTCCAAGCAGTTTTATATTCTGCCAGAATGTAGTGCTGAGTGTAAGTTTAGATATGCCTAAAGGGACTGTATATACAATTTACACATAAAGTGTGTGATAAGTGAAATGTGCAGAACAGATTATTTGGTGATAATTTCGTGAAAGAATGAAGGGTGTAGTATGCATATAAAACCAAGATTTATTTAGTGATATGGTGACTGAAAGCTACTTTGTGGGAAACTAAGTGAAGCAAAGCAATGAAAAACAAGAATCTGGGAGATGTTGGGGTATATAATAATATGCACATTTATACAATACCTTCAAAAATTTGTGTTGTGTTAACAAATGAGAAAATTGCCATGCAGCATGCTTGGTTAACTTTGCATTCAGGACTACCAGTGCATGTAATGGAAGAGGGGGCAGGGAAAGAAAGAAATCTCTAACTGGTACCTGTCAAGATTTTGCTTGTCTAGCCACCTATAGGAACATAAATGTCTGGAATTAGGTTATGGATTGATTGCTTTGGATCATGTTGGCCCTACTTGTTTGCTTGTATGTTGTTCCCCAGTCACTGGAGGGCTGGTGTCACTGTAATGAATGACATTGTAGAGAGCTCTGTGAAGGGTTTTAAACTACAGCATTGAGCTGGAAATGGTGGTTGGTAACAGTTTTGGAAAACATATGGGCTATCTTAGTGAATGAGAAGTGAAAGTGAATGCCTTACATTTGGTATCAGAGTTCAACACAGGTGCTGCAGAATTGCCATAGAGGCTGGGCGTGATGGCAGGGGTTAGTACAGGAGCAACTTCACCCCAGGAGGGTTCGGAGGGTGGAGATGAGAAGGCAGGGATGGTCTGAGGGGGTGGCTGAGTGCAACATAGGCAATTTGAATTATTTTAGTCATTGATTTCCTTTTGCAGCATTACTGGTCAGTCACATAGTCTTTTCATAATACGTTAAAATACAGGTCAGCTAGCATTCTGTCCTGGTTTCAGCTGGGATAGAGTTAATTTTCTTCCTAGTAGCTGGTACAGTGCTGTGTTTTGGATTTAGGATGAGAACAATGTTGATAACACACCAATATTTTAGTTGTTGCTGAGCAGTGCTTACATTAGTCAAGGACTTTTCAGCTTCCCATGCTCTACCGACTGAGAAGGCTGCAGGTGCACAAGAAGCTGGGAGGGGGCACAGCCAGGACAGCTGACCCAAACTGGCCAAAGGGATATTCCATACCATGTGACATCATGCTTAGTATATAAACTGAGGGAAAGCTGGCCGGGGGGGATGCCACTGCTCAGGGACCGGCTGGGCATCGGTCGGTGAGTGGTGAGCAATTGCATTGCGCATCACTTGCTTTGTATATTTTTTTATTATTACTGTTATTACTGTTTTATTTTAATTCAATTATTAAATGGTTCTTATCTCAACCCACAAGTTTTCTCACTTTTACTCTTCTGATTCTCTCCCCTGTCCAACTGGGGTGGCGGGAGAGTGAGCAAATGGCTGTGTGGTGCTCAGTTGCTGGCTGAGGTTAAACCACGATACATTGTTAGCCATCCATGGGACATATCCTCTCTAATCCCTGGTATTTTCCAAAGCATGTCTGTCCAGCCCTACCCTTCTTGCCCTTGTACTACACTAACGATCCTTCTCCTGTTCTGGCTCAGATCCGTTTCTTCCCTTTCTTCCCACATGTAGTTTTTTGCTTCCCTCCCCTGCCCAGCTTTCCTCCACAGCACATCCTTTCTTATATCCCAGTCTATAATGCGATCCTTATTCCCACTCCTCAATCCCATTTCAAACTGTGGGTGTCTTCTCCTGTATGGTCTGTGTATGTACAGGACAGAGAGACAGTGTTGGTGTGTGTGTCTGTACCTGCCTGTCAGGTAGGTATCCCATGCATTGGCTAAAGATAGCGGTCTAATCCCGATCTCATTTGTTTATCGGAGGAGGAGGTCAGCGTGACGTAATCTGGTCTGCAGAGTGAACGTTTGTAGGTCATACCTACCCCCGGCTGACCTCCAGTTTTGACTCTGTGCAGCTTTACGTGCTTGTGTGGAGATAGACCCTAGGCCTGGCTTCTTCTTGGGCTTTTTGGCTTTCTTGTCTGTGAGACTCGTGTGTTTCTCTCCCAGATTATAAACAACTACCTGGGCGGGACACAAGGAGGGGCTGTGGACAAGGCGTCCCCAAGCGGCATGCATTTCAGGGACAGCAAGAGAAAGGTCGACTATGTGTTAGCCTACCACTACCGAAAACGCCTTGCTCGGCACCCGGCTGGTGTGGGCTCACCGGAGCCGATGCACGGATCCGCCTCCTTGGCCCTGGTTTCGAACGGAGGGAGCGGGAAGGGCTGTGTGGAGCTGCAGCAGCAGGATGGTGGCCAGCATGCCCCCCAGGAGCCCCCGAGGCCACTGGGGGTGGAGGTGATTGAGCTCGGCCCGCTGGACACCCTGGAGGAGGAGAAGCGGCTGCAGCGGGAGGAGTACGAACGCAGCCTGGTGGAAGTGGGGCTGGAGATAGAGAAAGACCCTGAGGTAAGAGGGGAGAGTTGCTCCTCATGCGCGACGCTGGGTGCCCTGATGGGTAATGGCCACTTTGGTGGCAGAGGTGGCTACATGCAGGACGTAACCATGGCCGGGCTGTGCTGGTGGGACAGCCTGGCAGTGACTAGGTGCCCAGAGCATGGCTGCTCGCTCTCCCTGTTGGCGAGGTGAGGCGTGGAGGCCAGGGGCCCGGCTGTGGCCATGCGGTAGGGCCTGGCCTGGCCTGCCTTCATTCGTGCCCTGCATTAATATTAACTGAGAGGCAAATCACACCTGTGCCGACTCTTAAAAATAAGAATATATGCTGCTTTCCTTCTAACACAGCCCTGCTGACTCCCCCACTGTCGCTTCTGCAGCCACAGCAAGTGTAGGATGTCCTGGAGGTATGTCTTATGGCCAGCTTGAGGAGCTAATCCTGAAGACAGCTTGTTATTGCTGAACAGTAGTTCAGTACTGAACATCCCTGGGTCAAATGCTGCCACCATGGCAACACCCAATTAGGGAATCTGCAGAAATATGTTGTACAAGCTATTTTCATACATGCCTAAAATATGATGTGAAGCCAAGAAGAAGATGGTGGGGGTGTTTCTGTATTGCTTGGTTCTTACTGCCTGGGAAATACGTGGTTGTTATTGTTGTTTAATGCATTATTGAGTAGCAATTTCAATCTTACTTCTGTAGAAAACTTATTTATCTAAATGTTCTTAAGGCTTGCAGTGAACACACTTTTCTTACAAAAAATTGTGTTTACATTTTAATATTGTTAAAATGAGAAAGGCTCTCAAGTAATTTGCTGGAATACGAAGTGCTGTTAAGACATTTCATATTTCCTCAGAATAACTTGGTGATTTTCAGTGCGACTCTCAGCTTTCTTCCCAGCCATATGTAAGCTTTGTGACATTTTCTTCATTCCACCTACAAACTGAAGAGCTCCTATGCTGCAATTGGAGAACCTCCCAGGCTTTAATGTATTTATTCTCACCACATGTGCGTGATATTAGGTTTACGGTTGGACTCGATGATCTTAAAGGTCTTTTCCAACCTAAATGATTCTATGATTCTATGTTGGAAAGTGCTATGGTTGTATCAGCTGGGAGCTGTGGTTAGGTTACTTGACTGCAGCCAGTCGGTCAATTGAGCACGAGTCTTCCAAATCCCATGTTGATGCACTGAGCGCTGTGCTATCTCTTTGGACCTCTTTGAAAGCCACGGATATTTATATCCGTTGAAGGGAAGTCCCCGCTGGGTTCTAGTTTTAGGCACTCTATTGTTTTTGACACCAAATTTAAGAAACTTAGGGCTTCTTTTCAGAGGTGCTGAGAACTTACAGCTTGTATTGCTTTCAGTACAACCAGTCAACACTTCAAAAATGTGGACCAAATTACAGACTGCATCTGAAAATTTGAGTCTAGCTGACTTGGCATAGTGTACGCACGTTAAATCACTGGCAGGAATAGAAAGAAATAGAAAGGCCTTTTTGACCCTTAACATTTTCCTTGCTTGGTTTGCTGAGTTGCAGGTGGCTATGGGTTGTATTTCACTGCACAGCCTGGCTGAGCCATCCTTGCACTGAACAGAAAAAAGTGATCTCAGATCCTGATTCTTTTATGCTAAGCATTGGGGTTAAGGTTTAATACTGCTAACACATGACTGTCTTACCGCTATGATGTTTATAACCAAATTGCAAAAACCCCATGAGAACAGCTGTTTTTGGAGGCTTCTTTCAGTTCTGAATTTCATCAGAACCTGAAAAGTCTAGCAGGAGATTTGGATTTGATTATTTGACTCATTACTTACCCGAAGTCCAGCTGGATTCAAATTCTGGTTCGGACCCCTTCCAAGTGATGATGTGTGCTCTTAAATAATATACAAAGTAATAAATGATGTCATAGAGAGCTGATCAAGAAAAAACTTTTTGTCAGGGTTTTACTCCTGAAGAGGAAAAGGCTTTTTGTATATGAACTGGAAAGTTCTGAGGAAATTATTTGGTGACTGGTTCTTTTATGGGAAAAATTAATGGATTTTGAAAATTACAAAAAATGCAATCCCATCACTTCTCTATCTGTATATGTGTATGTACATAGTCACTCCTCCCCCCCACCCCTCAATGCACAAGCAGTCTAATCGAAAGGGGAAAGTGTTTTTCCCTCCAGAATCTCCTGAGAAACTGGAAGGGACTATGCATTATCTTTATTCTTCCCTGCCCAAGACATGTGGCTTTTACTTCCTTTTCTTTTTCTCACTTGGCTGTTTTTTTTCTCCTGTTAATTAACTCCTGTTAAAACATGCTGAAGCTGCTGTCTTTGTTATCTTGCTGTGAATTTCATAGAACATGCTGATCAGGCACATGTGAAGGGTACAGCTGGCGTTATATGTTGATTAAAATTGTGTGTTGAGCTGATGTGAGAACAACTTCTGATTTTAGTCCTAGGAAAAACATGTGTCTACAGGTTCACTAAACTCAGAACAGTCTTAATCACAGAATGCTGTATTGTTGGTGTATAACACAGTGGACTTTCAACTAGTACATTTCTAGTGGTTTGTGCTGAACATGCATGTTTGGGTTTTTTTTTGTTTCAGTGCTAGTATAACAAGTGGATCTTTTTCATATAGTAGTATTGGAAGTTGAGACATATTCTCTAATACATATCTCACTCTTGCCATATGTTCTGAACCAGGTCCTAAGATGAGTCTGATCTCCTGCTCAGAGGGCTGGCTGCAAAGGTAACTCAAAACAGCTCCTGTACAAGGGATTCCACTTTTGGACCCTTAAGCTAGAGAAACCAAGGCCTGCTCTAGCCCATGTCACCTGCATACGGTCTTGCAAAGAAAAATATTCATTTAAGAACAATAGGCTATCCTGAACACAATCTCTTTCCTGAAACAGCATCAGTTTTTACTTGAAGCAGTAGCAATAGAAAGGAAGAGGGCAAAAGGGTATCTGCTATATCTGTGGTCTTCAATGAACATCTCTGTGCTGTCCTTTCTAGGTGGCCTATAGTAGCTATACAGCTAAAAAAATTATCTTTGATAGGGCCTATGTAGTTCTGGTTCTTGTTAACCTCATTGCTTGAGCAAAAAAAACCCCAAACAAACAAACAACAAAAAAGGGAACAAGCCATTGTCCTTTTTTAACTGATATTGTGGAAGTCATGAAGGATATATTCTCTGAGTAATATGTTTGGTTCAGCGTTTAATGACTTCTAAGGGCATCTGTCTTCTCATGGTTGGAAAGTTGCTTAGTCTATGATCTCAGTTAACCCAACTTTGTAAAGACTGTAAGCTTGATTAACCTAAATGAACTAAGCACAGCATCTTTTGCATCGGGCTACTCAGTCTGCTAACCTCACAGGATGTTTGAGTTCCTCTAGAAGCTGCTTTTGTATGCTAAAACTATTTAGATGTCAGGAAATTAATCTCTAGGAACACAGGATAGCATTATGACAATTTAAAAATCTTTATTTCTACAACTATCTTTTTGAAGAAGTGGGATTTTCCATGATGTTGATATGTTTGTTAACATATGATGTTAATATGGCTGTTATATGCTGAGTAACTGGGGACAAACACCTTTCTAACTTGTATTGCTAATTCATTGTGTAGAAGAACAGACACAAGAAAATAAAAGAAAATATATAATTTGTATGTGGAGAGGGGAGTATTACTCTTTTTTGAATATGTGGAAAATAGGCAAGATTATGGTCTGTCTCCATATCCACCCAGTTATTATTTGTCAATTAATGAATTTTTGACCAGTTTTCAACTTTCTTATAACTTTTTATCATTTGTTATTGCTGTCCTCCAGAGAAACTTTGTTCTCTCTTAACATAACCTTGGGGTTTTTTGTTTTCCTGTTTTTAAACTGAGATATTATTTTGCATGTTGAAGACAAGGCGCACAATAAAGGCAATGGGCATGAAGTTGAATGTTACAACTTCTTCCTCTCTAATGTGACATTCAGTACCCATAATGATGGGTGGTCGTAGTGAGATTTGACAACCTTCTTACCATGCTCCCTGGTAAAGTCATACCTGATCCATAGCATATATTAATGTGTTATAACAAATACTGCCACCATCAACTTTCAGTCTTGATGTTCCGTGTTTCAGAGACCACAAGTGGCAGATCAGGTTTAAGGAGCTCTTTGGCTGGTTATCTTCTCTTCAAATCAAAACATTTGGGTGGTCCAGTGTAGCGTGTGCCCATGAAAACAACTGAGTTAGCATAATTTAGGGTTACGTGGAAGTGATACTTGGTGGAAAGAATAAGACAGAAGAGGAAGCTTCCTATTCACTTCTGATGACAGCAGCATAGCAACACAGAACTACTGTTTTGCATAGTTTGCTATGAGTAAAAATAATGTTTGCATCTGTGACTGCTCTGTTTGACCAGTCTACAAAGGTAGATGAAATAAACCTGGTGTTGACTCTTGCATGTGTATGTACAATTAATGACCTTGTATTTTACAGTATTACATAGTGACTAATGTAGACCCCACTAATACAGATCCTGTAAACACTTACGCTAATCTGCATAGTGTTAAGCATTTGCAGGATTTGCTTCCTCTGCTTCAAAGTAACACAGTTAAAAGTATAGTAAAACTTTTTTTCCAAGATGTCCATGCCAGAACCCAGATTCTTTGGCATGTCTTTGTAAACTGCGAAGGAATGGCAGCAGGTCACATTTACCCTTGTGAAGCCATGACAGTTATCTCCAAATAAACCCTATTTAACACTAGTGGCACAAGTCAAATTTTGCATTAGATTAGATACACAAACAATTGCCTGAGATAGGGCCACCTTAAGAGTATCCTCAAATATTCCACCTGGATTCCCAGAAAGGGCAATAAATACCATTGACATTGCAGGCAGTTCTTGGGGTTGAATTTTTTTTCTTTTTTTTTTTCCTGGGGAAACTGATTGTTATGTTTCACCTAATGTGGAACATCAGTAGTTCACTTAAATTTGAGTTGTACCGCTGCTTTAACGACT